TTTTGGTGCCAAAGCAATCCCAGAGAGTATTCATGTCAATAGAAAGTAAGAACATGTGCCAAAAATATCAGTTCCTACAAACTATGGTGTATACTCAGCACCGCCCCTAACTTGGAGGAAACTGGGAAGTCAGGTATTTTTGCCCCCAGGCAAGGGCATCTTGCCATGGAACTCTCGGTACATAGGACTTTGGCTGTATCTACGCAAAATCTTCACTTGATTCTAAGTGTGCTTTTGAACACTTGGCAGGATCCATGAACCTAGTGTTGAGGTTTCTGCTAACTCATGCCATCAAAAGTGACTACAATACAGCGCCTGGCCCTTTCATGTGATGGATATAGAGTTAGATATTCCGCCTGAAGGACCTTTAGAGAGAGATGGCACAGAAAATGAAATGAAAGCCTGCTTTGAAAGCCAATGAAGGATTCTAGTTAGCCCTGTATCTGGCAGAGATGACAAGGAGGCGTGCTGGGGAGGGTATGGCAGAACAGGGAACCACGGCAATGGGAGAGTTTGACCTGGATGTTTTTCTTCAGCAGTGACAACTGACCATTTAAATGCTGTGATCAATAATGAAATAGATATTCAAAATCTAGTTTGGCTATACAAAAATTATATTAATGACATCTATTAATAATTATCGTCTTACCATTTAGGTTAATTCTCATGTGCACAATCATTATCATACATAGTATAAATATATACCATATTAATTGGGTTGTATGCTACATATAACATTAACTTGTATTTGACACTTTTTATTGTTGCATAATTTTGTCTAATGTTACATAGTTTCTTGCTTATCACTCTTAGAAATTAATCAGAACTCAGAAGCTGGGTGTGGACATGACCCTGATCTAAGCCCATGGCAGGAAAAACTACTTTAGGACCTACAGGAATTAGGAAAATGTTTCTGATAACTGCCCCTCCCCACAACAATATAAACAAAAAATAAGACTTTTGAGCAAATTTTGAAATGAATCAGAATCTCCCTGTCACTTGAGGAAAGAAACCAAAAATAGTAAAATGTTTATAAAATTAAATACTGAAAGGAAAACATCCACATGCCATGAACCTCAAAGAGTGATCACCAAGGAAAAAGTCAGCAGATCTGACACAGCTAGTTCAGCTGTTAACCCCACCCAGCTTTCAACACCAGAGGTGCCTCGATGCGCAAATTACGTCGACCTGCGCCCAGTTTGCTACGCTGGAGGCTCTTTGTCATAAACATGCCGCTAAACCCCCTAAAACTACCTGGAAGAGGACCAACTACGGCCCGGCTATCTCCCCCCACACACAACCAAGTACACTTTTCTAGTGGATGTGCCGGGTAATTCAAAGAAAACATTGAGGGAGGCGTGATAAAAGCTATCTGCAGAGTACACATATTAAACCACTAAAAGCAAAGTAAACGGATAAGACAGATAATAGCTATTTAATAAACTTCTCCAAGAAAATAGGAAAATAAATTCACCAACTCATTTATAAAGTTGGTATAATCTTGATATTTCAACTAAATATGGAATAAGATATCACATTAAGATTAATCCAAATCCACAAATTTAATGTAGAGAGATATAAGTATATGTAAAGAGATATAATGAGGATCATGTAGCAATTTTTCCAATAATGCAAGGATGATTTAATCTCATATATGCAATGTAATATACCACAAAAATGAAATAAAGGAGAAAATACACAATCTTCTGAATAAATGCAAAAAAATTATATAACAACATTCAATATCTATGATTATGAGAAAATGAGGAAAACTTTTAGAAAACTGAAAGCAAACAACTTCCCTGCTTTGATAAAGATTATCATAAACTGCAGCAAAGATCCTACTGAATGAGAAAGCTGCGGGCAATTCCCTTGAAAATCTGCTATTAGACAACGATGCTTAGTACTACCGCTACAGCTCTACAAGGAACATGAAATCCTAGTTAAGGCAAGAATACGGAAAAAAAAAAAATTTAAGGATTGGAAAGAAAGAGGTAAAAACATTTTACACAAAACAACCAACAGAATCCTCAAACCATTGGAACTATTGTGTTCATCAAGCTTGTTAAATATAAGATTAACAGGCAAAAAACAAAGTATTCCTCCACATCAGTGGTTCTCAAATGAGAGTGACTGTGCCCGCCCCAGACCTTTGGCAATACATGGAGACATTCTGGTTGTCACAACAGGGGGTGTGGGGGCGGGGCGTTGAGGGGAAGGTGCTACTGGCATCCAGTGAGTAGAAGCCAGAGAGGCTGATAAACATTCTATCATGCAAGGAAAGTCTGCCACAACAAAGTATTATCCAGCCCAAATGCCAGGCTGCTGAGAAACCCTGCTCTACACCAGCAAAATAACCAGTGAGAAAATACAATAAAAATGAAGATGCCATTCCCGACAGCAATACAGACTACAAAGTATCTAGGGATTAACCTAACAGACATTTGTAGGAACTTAATGGAGAAAATGTTAAACTCTCTTAAATGGCCTAAAAGAAAACTTGAATTAATGGAAAGATATTTTATATTTGTAGATATATTTACTTAATACTATAAGAATTGTTGATTCTTTCCTAAAGTAAACTTTTAAATAATCTAATTTTAAAAATCATCAGTATTTGGGAAATTGGTTAATCCGATTCTAAAGTTTTTAGTGAGGTATTAGTCGAGGAATCTTACCCTATTCTTTGAGTGGTTGGTAATTTCTAAAAATTTCAATCAAAGGCAGATGTAGAAACAATTTGAAGTTTGCTATTTAGAGGCAGTGGTTTCCTAGGCTAGTACGAATTGTAGCAATCCTCAATACATAGAGTTTAATCTATTTGAAAAAACAAATATTTTTCATCTTGAAGGATAAAATTAGATGTCTACACTCACTAGAAAATTAGTTTTTAAAACAGTACTTATGATATTTGAACATCATCATTGTTTAAAGTATGCCTACCTGTAGCAGGACACTAAATAAACACTATATGATCAGATAGAAAGTTTTGAATGTCATTTTTCCTTTGTTCTTCCCTGACACGGCATTCTACTAATTTTAGTACATGTTTTATATCAAAACTCTCTAACTCTAATCTCTCAGAAACTCATTAATCTGCATTAATAGCCTTTCTGGGAAGCCGTAAGTTTAATCAATTCTTATTTGATAAGGGTCTCTAATGCTTTCAGTGATGGGAGACATACTGAGCAACAAACTGTTTCAGAACAAGAAGCATTTTCTAAAGTCATGTCAGATGTTGATAAAGTGAAATTCCTCGTACAATACAGGAACGTAATTCTCAATTCCTTATCCACTGAGAAGGTTAATAAAATAGAAGGCCTTCAAAATGTTATCTAAATACTTGAAGAGAGATAACTTATTCCAACGTAGTATTTCTTCATAATCTGGATACTTTTGTATTCAGATAGTACAGGCTGTTTACTCAATGATCTGATGGAGCTAAGCAAGTCACTGTTAGGCTGGTTTTTAAATGTCTGTCCACCACAATGAAGGCAATGACTACAGTTAGCTGCCACTTTTTGCAGCAAATGTCCTACCTCTGAGCTGCACCCTAACTCATTGCATCTAATAGATTTTTAAAGTTTACACAATCCTTTAAACCAATCATCCTATTTTGTCCTCACAACCCTATGGAGCAGGAAAGAATAGAGATATTGCTCTTACCAATGGGAAAATAGAACTCCGTGACCTCGTGCGCAGATGTCTAGAGAGTAACAGAATTGGAATCAGGCCCTGGGCCCTTGATCCCAGGTGCACTGGCCTTCTACCACACTGTGTTGGACAAGAACCACAATGGACTAAGCGGAAGCTGCTCCAGGAAAAAAACTAAAAACACATGGACACAGGTCAGGTTTAAAGGAATTTCTTTATGGATAATTAGTTAGCTTTAATGAACTGTTCTTCATAGAAAAGTTGATTTTGCTAGTCAGCCACCAAAATAAGATGCTTGCTATTTGATTTCTCCAAAGTTGTGATGTTTTGAAACAATTACTATTGCTTTTCTTCTCTGAATGCTCTCATTCAATCTGTTAGGACGCTAAGGGGTGTGACGTGGGCAAGAGGCAGTTCGCAGCTAGTAGACTGCAGGGCTCTTGAAGGTAAAGCTCTCTTACTCTTCTCTGTGTCCCTAGTGCCCGGTATAATGCCTACTGCATACAGAAATTATATACATACATATATATATATACACACATAAACACACATTTATTTAAATTCAACTCTGAATTCCAATGGACCTCCCCTCTGCTATGACCCACTGACCCAACAAGTTTGCACAAGTCTACACACCATAAGGACCTACCACTTGTGCCTAGAGCTCATGAAATGACTTATTTGGCAAAGCAGGACCACGAACACTCTGCTTTTTCTTTATGCCTTTATACCAGCATTCCTTTCCTTCTTCGTCCTCCTGCAGAACTAAGTTCTCCTTTTCCTTCAAGACACAGACCAAGTGTCACTTTCCCGTAAAGCTTCTCTGACTCTCACCGCAGGCCAGATGACAGGGATAAATCACTCCCTGCTTTAGACTGCCACTGCACCTTCCACTGCCCTCAATCATTACAGGGTGAGACAAGGTCTGTGCTGTGGGTAGCTGGTCTTCGGAGGAATTGTAACACCGAAGCACTTGCAAAAAAAGAACAACACTATTCTGGTTTGACATTACTTGCATAAGCTATTTCACTGAAGCATCATAGCCCTATGTTCAAACAGGAAATTTCAGTGCCCATGGATCCCTTTATTTAAGAGGTAAAATTAAGAGGCTAACTCCAGCATGGGAGGCGAGAAGAGTGTTCCAATGATACAGAATCTCTTTTTAGTATCTTGTAATTTTCATGTCCAACTATAAGCCAAACTGTGGCAGGGAAGATCAATTAGCAAAATTACTACTTCAAATTCTATATAACATTCATATTATCTTCAAAGAATTATTTGGGTGAACTAATGTCTTACCTTAATATTACCAATATTATTAAAAGTAACCGTTTATTTTTACTTACCAAGTACAATTGCACCTGGACTAGATTCAGCCATTTTGGATGGAGTTTTTGCTTTTGTCTTCATTCATAAAGCCATGGTATAACTAAAATCAATTTCAAAAAAAGTAATTGTATTTTGCGAAGACATTGGATTGTTTTTACTAATCGCAATACATAATTAAGGCTCTGGTCAGATTTTAGCACATATAAATATTTGAGAACTCTGACTTATAGTGCGAAGTCAAGATTTATAAATATAAAATAGTATCTCTTTGCCTCCAATTTCAAATGGCTAAAACTGAATTAGCTTTGGGAATACAAGCATTAAAAGAAATGAATTTGCTAATATTCTTCTTCTCTGGAAACTCTTCTGATGAAGACACAGAATTCTTTGTACATTAAAATGATGTAGAAACAAAGCAGTCTATATATTTCTTAACCATGGGTTGGGCCTCCCTCCCTGATTGATCTCTTTAAATGATAAATCCAAACTGATCAAAAGAGAAAACATAATGAAACCACTTGAAAATTAAAAAGTGCTATAAGCATGTAAAACATTGTTACTATTCGACTGCACTAAACTAAACCATCTGAAGATTAACAATCTGTCATCCAGCTTTTTCTTGTCATAGTTCCATGCTAACCATTGGATTACACTGCCTTTGTTAGAACCTCTACACAGTCAACTCTAGGAATAAGAGCAAACAAGTCTAAAATATTTTTCTCCCTGAGTATTAGAGGCAAATTCTTATGGATACTTCCAAAGAGGTATTTGAATCCGTTTAAGAGAATTCTTATAGCGGGGGCCAGCCCAGTGGTACAGTGGTTAAGTTCGCACGTTCTGCTTCGGCAGCCTAGGGTTGGCTGGTTCAGATCCCAGCTGCAGACCTACACACTGCTTATCAATCCGTGCTATGGCAGGCATCCCACGTATTTAAAAAAGTAGAGGAAGATGAGCATGGATGTTAGCTCAGGGCCAGTCTTCCTCAGCGAAAAGAGGAGGATTGGCGGCAGATGTTAGCTCAGGGCTAATCTTCCTTAAAAAATAACAAAAAATTATTATAGCAAGTAATGTGGGCTCTATTTCATTTTCAGTTCTGACATTCCTTTTTATTTTGCATTTTCTCCTGATATACTGTATATTGGAATTATGCTTCCCATTCTCCTCATTTTCTAGAAACCATATATATTGACTTGGGTCTCTGGTTTTGCTTATTGAACTTTGTCACGTGGCATGGAAATTTAGCTTCACTTTTTCTAAAGATGTAAAAGAATTGCAAGTATCCAAGAAGAAAGCTTGGTCTCTCCCATTACACATGCTCAGCACATCAACACAAACTTGGACAGGCCAGACCAGACGAAGGCAGGCCAACAAATGTCCTATCTGTGTGAAGGAGGTCAGGATACCAGCAGGCCCAGATGGATGAGACCCACAGCAACACTCAGGAACAGAGGATGGCGATCCAGCTTTCCTCTGGCCTATGAAATTGGAGTTACTGTAATATTGTATAGGAAGAAAATGTATTTTCATTTTCTACTTTATATAAGCATGTCTATTCCTGCCATGAACTGAATATTTGGGCCCTGCAGATAAAATAAATATCACAAAAGTCTAAAACTCCTACTGAAGAACTATTTTCTCTCTGACATAGGAGAAAGTGAGAAGACTAGGTTTATATGCGGCACGCTGAAAGCTGCTAGTTTGCCTTCCAAAGTGAACAGGACAGTGAACTTTTACAGTATCTGACACACTGGAGTGTTAAAAATGCTTTCACGAGCAAGGCTTCACTCACTTTTCTGGGGAGGATTCCCACAATTACAACATTCTTGTTTTGAATTATCTCTTTTTTGCTTTCCTCATGTTTAGTCAAAATGTTTTTCCTTGTACACTTAGTCTTATTAATTATAGTTTTATTCCTTTGTACCACATTCAATAATTCTCTCTGCCACTTGAAAGATGAGTAAGTGGTTATGACGCTCCCCTCCTTAGCCTTTTGCCAGGTAATGCATATTTTTTCATACCCTTTATTTTCCCTCATGAGATTAATTATTCTATTTTGTAAATTATTGCAGTTTCTCTTCACTGAATCCTTCTCCTCCAAGACTATTTCCAAATTTGAAGGGATTAGATGTCCCAATATTAGTCAACCCTGTGCCGTCACTATTCTGAACTATGTTAATATTTGTTAACCATTTAATCCTCACAACAGCTCTATGCAGTCAAAGCCGAGCTTAGTATTTTAGCAATTTTACTGATGAGCATGGAAAACTTAAATAATTTGCCTACGCTTATTCATCTAGTAAGTAGCAGAACGAGGACTGGAATTCTGTCCTTCCGGTTCTAGAGCCCATGCGTTAACCCCTATGCCACAATGTCTCTCATAACAGCTCCCCTTTTAGATTAAATTTGAACTATTATTTCCTTTATTCACAATATGAGCATATTTATGGAAAACCAAAAGTCAAATCAGGGTCAGGAGAAAGCATATTTAAATGACTTTTTCTTATGCTGTGACAATACAATTCAGTAGACATTCCATCTTCTCTATTTAATCCCAACTCAAAATACGAATCAAACAGCCTGCCATTCTCCCACTGTCATTTCATGGGCTCTTGGAGACATTTTGACTCCAACAACTGCTTTTTACAATACAGGTATTCCCAGGGAGAGTTATATTTTAGCTATTGTCAGCTAACATTGTATGGACATCTTATTACCGTAAAAAGAATAAGTGAAAGTTACATGACAATACAAAGTGAACACTTAGATATATTTCACTTGTCTAAAGTAGACACTTCTACTTTCTGATTTTCTACAATTCACATTTATCAATATGTCATCAAAAATTATTTATTTTTAAACAGATTGCTCTGAATTGTAGTGTATGTTTTAGTTATATGGTATCTGCATCTTTTTTCAAGTTGGACACAGTCTAAAAAATTACATATTCACTCTCCAAATCCTTATGGGATACCTATGATATTGTAGGCATTGAAATAAGTGTGATATATTTAAGAGAGAGAGAGGGGTATCAAATAAATAGGTATCCTGCCCTGGAGCACAGTTAGTGGAGATGAAAGAAGAAGTGAAAACATATAACACTGAGAAAAACACCATAAATAGGACATATTCCCAAATAAAGATAGCAAGCTATACTTTTAACCTTAAATTAAACCTGAGTAAACATATGTCCTTACAAGAATTAGAGCAGTAAAAAGAGTAACCTACAGCCATAGCAAATTGTATACTATAAAAAGTTAACAATGAAAATTTCTTAGTTAGCATGACTGATGAATAAAATAGCCCAGCGCCTTACTTACAGCAAATATCAATAAATACTTGTAGAAGGAGCAATAATGTACATAATACAACTCCACTTGTGCCAAAGTCTGTTGTTTCTTTGATTTATATAATGGATCTGAACCTATCATCCATGAGCCCACCTTCCACTAGGCATCAGAGGAAAATTACATAACAATAATAGTAGTAATAATATGAAAAATATAAGTAATTAACTTACTCTTTTCATTATAAAACATTCTCTTTCAGGTAAACCCAGCCTCTTAATTCTAGGCTGTCAGTAATTTCCCCAACCTTACTCTACAAACACCAAAAAAAAAAAAAAAACAAAGGAGGGGCCAGCCCCATGGCATAGTGGTTAAGTTCAGCATGCTTCACTTCTGTGGCCCAGGTTCACGAATTTGGATCCTGGGCGTGGACCTATACCACTCATCAGCCATGCTTTGGTGGTGACCCACATATAAAATAGAGGAAGACTGGCACAGATGTTAGCTGAGGGCTAATCTTCCTCAAGCAAAACAGGGGAAGATTGGCAACAGGTGTTAGCTCAGGGCAAATCTTCCTCAGCAGAAAAACAAAACAAAACAAAAAAAGAAATAGAGTGTCCAGATGGACAAGGAGCCCCTCATCACTCACTGTCCCCCAGGACTTCACAGTTGTCTGATGCTAGGTGGCTGCTCTGGTCAGGGCCCTGGACAGCTGGCTACCCCCATATGAAGTTGTTGCTGGTGGAACCCTTGGTTTCCTCTCTCCTGAATCAAACTACCAGTGTCCTCATGCCTAATGTCTAACGTTGGCTCTCCATGAATTCAGCTCATGGCTCTATCCAAGCAGCACAGTCAGCAGCATCTGGGTGTCTAGACGTGGACCTAAAACCACTCTCTCCCTCCATCATCCTATATCTCTTCATTCAGTCTCATGCACATAAACCAACAGTTGAGTCTGAAAATCTGCCAGCATAAACATTGAAGAGCAAGCAAACGGAATGGCCCAGTGTCTCCTTTAAAAGACTAAAACCACTCAGTTGCCCCCCAGTGCCATCTCAACTAACGAGTCCTGTTCCAGTTTGCTAGTATCTCCTAATAGTTTGAACATTTGGGAATCAGTTCACTTTAACTTTTGGTCTTTGCTATATTTGCTTAATATTTCTATTAAGCACATTCAATTCTTTAAACTTTTTTAATAGAGAGAAAAATGTTTTGACTTTTGTTTTTCATGAGGTGCAGAATTTCTGGCTGCACTAAAATATTAGCTTTACTTTCTCCCTAAGCAAATTTATGTTATAGCGCATACATTAAAAAGAAGAAGAGAAGTAAGAGAAACATACTGAGACAGAGCTATCTTTATAATCACTGCCGACTTGCCCTTTCCCTCATCCCCGGTTTCAAAAAAGACAACATAAAGCTTCATGCTGGCATGTTAACCACAGTCAGGAAGAGAATGAGCTCAACTGTGTATATAAAAACTTGGTTGTTTTTCTTTGATTCACCCGATAGCATCACGCTGGGTCAGTTTCTTGTTTATGCTATCTTTATTGTTTCTGGTCTTAGAACAATAAACAGCCCTAAGTGGTTTCAGTTCCAGCAGCAAAACTGTGCAAATGAACTTTGGCTTTGTTTCATGTTGAATAGGGGGTTTTTATGATTTTATAAATGGTGATGTTTAGGAATCTTGCCAACACTGTTCTATAAACAGTGAAGAGTCACATTTGCCAGCTCTAGGCCTTTAATCACCCAAATATTCTTCCCCTGATATGGATAAAATATTTTTACCCTTGTTCCATGGAGATGAATAGGAATGAGC